AAATGACTCCTCCCACCATATTATGTTGTTCCCCAAGTTTTGGACTCAATCCGATATCGATTGGTCCATGAAATCGGACTATTCAGGTTCGTAGGAAGTTCGTTCTGAAATGGAGTGGTTGGTGTATTGCATAGTTTTAGCCATTGGATTTCACTCCAAACCAACCAAATGACTCCTCCCACCATATTATGTTGTTCCCCAAGTTTTGGACTCAATCCGATATCGATTGGTCCATGAAATCGGACTATTCAGGTTCGTAGGAAGTTCGTTCTGAAATGGAGTGGTTGGTGTATTGCATAGTTTTAGCCATTGGATTTCACTCAAAACCAACCAAATGACTCCTCCCACCATATTATGTTGTTCCCCAAGTTTTGGACTCAATCCGATATCGATTGGTCCATGAAATCGGACTATTCAGGTTCGTAGGAAGTTCGTTCTGAAATGGAGTGGTTGGTGTATTGCATAGTTTTAGCCATTGGATTTCACTCCAAACCAACCAAATGACTCCTCCCACCATATTATGTTGTTCCCCAAGTTTTGGACTCAATCCGATATCGATTGGTCCATGAAATCGGACTATTCAGGTTCGTAGGAAGTTCGTTCTGAAATGGAGTGGTTGGTGTATTGCATAGTTTTAGCCATTGGATTTCACTCAAAACCAACCAAATGACTCCTCCCACCATATTATGTTGTTCCCCAAGTTTTGGACTCAATCCGATATCGATTGGTCCATGAAATCGGACTATTCAGGTTCGTAGGAAGTTCGTTCTGAAATGGAGTGGTTGGTGTATTGCATAGTTTTAGCCATTGGATTTCACTCAAACCAACCAAATGACTCCTCCCACCATATTATGTTGTTCCCCAAGTTTTGGACTCAATCCGATATCGATTGGTCCATGAAATCGGACTATTCAGGTTCGTAGGAAGTTCGTTCTGAAATGGAGTGGTTGGTGTATTGCATAGTTTTAGCCATTGGATTTCACTCAAAACCAACCAAATGACTCCTCCCACCATATTATGTTGTTCCCCAAGTTTTGGACTCAATCCGATATCGATTGGTCCATGAAATCGGACTATTCAGGTTCGTAGGAAGTTCGTTCTGAAATGGAGTGGTTGGTGTATTGCATAGTTTTAGCCATTGGATTTCACTCAAAACCAACCAAATGACTCCTCCCACCATATTATGTTGTTCCCCAAGTTTTGGACTCAATCCGATATCGATTGGTCCATGAAATCGGACTATTCAGGTTCGTAGGAAGTTCGTTCTGAAATGGAGTGGTTGGTGTATTGCATAGTTTTAGCCATTGGATTTCACTCAAAACCAACCAAATGACTCCTCCCACCATATTATGTTGTTCCCCAAGTTTTGGACTCAATCCGATATCGATTGGTCCATGAAATCGGACTATTCAGGTTCGTAGGAAGTTCGTTCTGAAATGGAGTGGTTGGTGTATTGCATAGTTTTAGCCATTGGATTTCACTCAAAACCAACCAAATGACTCCTCCCACCATATTATGTTGTTCCCCAAGTTTTGGACTCAATCCGATATCGATTGGTCCATGAAATCGGACTATTCAGGTTCGTAGGAAGTTCGTTCTGAAATGGAGTGGTTGGTGTATTGCATAGTTTTAGCCATTGGATTTCACTCAAAACCAACCAAATGACTCCTCCCACCATATTATGTTGTTCCCCAAGTTTTGGACTCAATCCGATATCGATTGGTCCATGAAATCGGACTATTCAGGTTCGTAGGAAGTTCGTTCTGAAATGGAGTGGTTGGTGTATTGCATAGTTTTAGCCATTGGATTTCACTCAAAACCAACCAAATGACTCCTCCCACCATATTATGTTGTTCCCCAAGTTTTGGACTCAATCCGATATCGATTGGTCCATGAAATCGGACTATTCAGGTTCGTAGGAAGTTCGTTCTGAAATGGAGTGGTTGGTGTATTGCATAGTTTTAGCCATTGGATTTCACTCAAAACCAACCAAATGACTCCTCCCACCATATTATGTTGTTCCCCAAGTTTTGGACTCAATCCGATATCGATTGGTCCATGAAATCGGACTATTCAGGTTCGTAGGAAGTTCGTTCTGAAATGGAGTGGTTGGTGTATTGCATAGTTTTAGCCATTGGATTTCACTCAAAACCAACCAAATGACTCCTCCCACCATATTATGTTGTTCCCCAAGTTTTGGACTCAATCCGATATCGATTGGTCCATGAAATCGGACTATTCAGGTTCGTAGGAAGTTCGTTCTGAAATGGAGTGGTTGGTGTATTGCATAGTTTTAGCCATTGGATTCACTCCAAAACCAACCAATGACTCCTCCACCATATTATGTTGTCCCCCAAGTTTTGGACTCAATCCGATATCGATAGGTCCAGGAAATGGAGTATGTCGGTTGTAGTAAATTCGTGCAGGAGAAAAGCGTAGTGGTTGGTGTATTGCATAGTTTTAGCCATTGGATTTCATCCAAAACACCAAATGTCTCCTCCCACATATTATGTTGTTCCCCAAGTTTTGGACTCAATCCGTATCGATTGGTCCAGAAATCGGACTATTCAGGTTCGTAGGAAGTTCGTTCTGAAATGGAGTGGTTGGTGTATTGCATAGTTTTAGCCATTGGATTTCACTCCAAAACCAACCAAATGACTCCTCCCACCATATTATGTTGTTCCCCAAGTTTTGGACTCAATCCGATATCGATGGTCCAAGAAATCGGACTATTCAGGTTCGTAGCAAGTTCGTTCAGAAATGGAGTGGGTGGGGTATTGCATAGTTGTTTGGGCCACAAATTGGCATGCCCACCCCAGCAAAAAAATTAGGCCCAGAATAAAGCTACAAAAAATCAAAGAGAGTGGAAGCCCAAAAGCCAATTTTTTTTTTTTTTTTTTTTTTTTTTTTTTTTTTTTTTTTTTTTTTTTTTTTTTTTTTTTTTTTTTTTTTTTTTTTTTTTTTTTTTTTTTTTTTTTTTTTTTTTTTTTTTTTTTTTTTTTTTTTTTTTTTTTTTTTTTTTTTTTTTTTTTTTTTTTTTTTTTTTTTTTTTTTTTTTTTTTTTTTTTTTTTTTTTTTTTTTTTTTTTTTTTTTTTTTTTTTTTTTTTTTTTTTTTTTTTTTTTTTTTTTTTTTTTTTTTTTTTTTTTTTTTTTTTTTTTTTTTTTTTTTTTTTTTTTTTTTTTTTTTTTTTTTTTTTTTTTTTTTTTTTTTTTTTTTTTTTTTTTTTTTTTTTTTTTTTTTTTTTTTTTTTTTTTTTTTTTTTTTTTTTAAAAAAACCCTAAATATATATTTTAAAATATAATTTTATAAAATTTTTTAGGTTTTACAGCCTAATATATAACAAACATAAACCCTAAACCCCAAAAATTATACTTTAACCCTAAACCCTAATAAATAACAACCCTAAACCCCAAACCCTAAACCCTAACCATAAAACTATAAGTGATGTATGACTCATCAAAATAATTTTATTTTGGGTGGTCATTTTAAACTTTTATTACTCAAACTGCATTTTTTGAGGTTTAGGGGGAAGAAAATATGTCAATGACTTCATAGGAGTTGACGTTGCATTTTTTGATTTATTTTGAATATTTTGAATTAAAAAATAATAATAAAATATTCTTATATCAAAAACAAACCACGTCGGGGTTAAGTAATTAACGACGTTGTAAATAATAATAAACGACTCACTTGTAAAAAGAACGTCGTTTAAAAGAGAAACCATGGTGGATTTTTCACCATCCGACGTAAATTCAATATTCCACGACTCAATTTCGTCCGTTAAAAGTAATACCCTAAACTTTAAACCCTAAATTATATATTTTTAAAATAATTTTATAAAATTGTTTATGGTTTTTACAGCCTAATATATAACAAACATAAACCCTAAACCCCAAAAATATACTTTAACCCTAAACCCTAATAAATAACACCCTAAACCCCAAACCCTAACTCTAACCATCAAACTATAAGTGATGTTATGACTCATCAAAACAATTTTATTTTGGGTGGTCATTTTAAACTTTTATTAATCAAACTGCATTTTTTTTGAGGTTTAGGGGGAAGAAAATATATCAATGACTTCATAGGAGTTGACGTTGCATTTTTTTGATTTATTTTAAATTTATTTTGAATATTTTGAATTAAAAATAATAAAATATTCTTTTATCAACAACAAACCACGTCGGGGTTAAGTAATTAACAACTTTGTAAAATAATAATAAACGACTCACTTGTAAAAAGGACGTCGTTTAAAAGAGAAACCATGGCGGATGTTTCACCATCCGACGTAAACTCAATATTCCACGACTCAATCACCGTCGTTAAAAAGTAATAACCTAAACCCTAAACTCTAAATTATATAATAGACGACTTACTTGTTCAAAGGACGTCGTTTAAAAGCGAAACCATGACAAAATTTTCACTAAAACGACGTCCCATGGACATACAAACGGTATATCACGTCTAAATATCCTTTTAAGTCGGTTTTTGACATAATTATATCGTTGGTGTGCCTGGCAGAGTTTTCCAAATTGGTGCTTTACGGCCTGGTCTGCCTATGTGGGAATTATAAATTTTTAAAGCACTGTTCACGATGTTTTTGCCTGCCTCATTAACCACAAGATTTCTAGGCAGAGGATCCAGAAAATAGACGGTTTCCCTCTTTGCTCTCACAATCAGCAAGACCCAATGACGGCTGCACAAAATTAACATAAAAAACGACGGTTAATATAAAAAGTCAGCACAAGAAAACAAACGACGGTTATTTATAAAAACCGACATATTATAGAATTTCACACGACGAAATAACGTAGCAATCAACGTCATTATAAATTTATCACGACGGTAATTAACTACCGACGTGGTTAGTTGTTTCAAACGACTCAATAAATAAAGAACCGACGTGGTTAGATGTTTCAAACGACACAAAATTAGTTAAAAAATTTTATACGCAGTCAGTTAGTGAAAATCATACAAACAAAATCCTTTTAAGGAGATTCACCCTGGATTGTAAGGCATCATGAAAATCTGTTCACCATCTGTTTTCTGAAGTCGACTGGCTACAATTCCTGATCTGTCAGTTAGTGACCCAGTGTTGACACTAACTTGAGCAGGGTCGATAAAGCCAACCATGCTGCACATATTTGCTTCTCTCAAATGATCATATAAGCACCTAAATATATAAAACAAAGATATATACAAAAGTCCAGCCCAAAAAACACACGACGGTTATTTATAAACAAACGACGTATTATACAATTTCACACGACGAACTGAAATAGAAACAGACGTTATAACTAATTTATCACGACGGTAAAAAAAGAACGACGTGGTTAGTAGTTTCAAACGACGCAATAAATAAACCACCGACGTCTTATGCTATAATGTTTTTTTTTCTCAAACACAAATTTGAGTGTGAATTAAATATTTGATAAGGACAAACCTCATATATACTGCAACCACAGTAGCCCCAATTTCTTCCATGCCTGCAAACTGTGTAATATCTTCATGCAAGACGAAGGTACTGCGATCTGCACCAAACACCTCCTTCTCAATGTTGAAGGTCATGATCTTCCCCTGAGGCTTTAGTGTCGTTTCCACATAACGACAAAGGGATTGTAAGGAAGATGGCACCTCCACATTTGAATAATCAACTACTTCATTACCCTGTTTAAAGAAATAAAGCAAAATAAAATGACGTGGTAATTCAATAAAAACGACGGTTTAAATAAAAAAACGTCGTCTGATAATAATTTAAACGACGGTAATAAAAAACCGTCGTTTTAAATAATTTATTACGTCATAGAAAACAAATTCCGACGTCTAATTTGAAAACAAACGACGGTTTAAAGAAAAATATCGACGTCTGAAATTTGAAAAACAAATAAAAAAGGCAAAGTTATGAGAATATACCTCTTCGTCATGCTTTTCTTCATCTTGTTTTTCTTCTTTCTTCTCTTCATCATTTTTGTCTTCCTTTTTGTCTTCATCTTTTTTCTTTTTTTTTCTTCCTTCTTCTCTTCATCTTTTTTTTCTCCCTTCTTCTCTTCATCTTTTTTTTTCTTCTTTCTTCTCTTCATCTTGATTTTCTAAAGCCCCAGATTTCTGTTTTAAGTAATAAAGAAATATATATATATATATATATAAGACAGATTGTACAGAAAGTAAAAAAATTAAATCAAAACGTCGTGGTAAGGCATAACATAAGACGGTATGTAAGAATTATGGACGTCTTAAAATTATTAAACGATGGTAAATAATAAACGTCGTGGGATTTGTCTATTACGTCGGTAAGGACTAAAACCGTCGTCTAAAAACCACAAAGTACGACGTCTAATGGCGTGTAAAACAAGTAAACTAATACGACGTGGTATTTAAATACAAACGACGGTTTATTTATAAAATCGTTGTGGTATGGTTTTAAAACGACGGGTTTCTTCATAATAACGACGTCTAATAGTTTTAAAAAAAAACAGAGAATTCAAAGTTCAGATATGTTACCGTTTCTTCCTGCTGTTCCCCATTTTTGGCAGTATCATCCTCTAAATGTAGGGATCTCACATCAGCCCCAGAACAGCTTGCTTTGTCAGACATTGGATTTTTGGGACTTTGCTCTAGACCTTGGTTTTGACAGGGGCTAGTTTTCGGTTTAAGCATGCTTGGATCAAAATTGGGGATGAGTTGGGAAAGCTGACTCAGTAAATGTTCCCTCTCAGCCTCTACCAATTGCTTGGTTCTAGCCTCCATCCTTAAAGTCTCTTCCCTTGATCTAGCTTCCATCTTCTTAGTCTCTTCTTGAAGGACAATTCTTACACTTTCCTTCAATTGATCGGCAAACTTTACCCTCTGTTGTCTAGGTAAATTGAAGAATTGCCTAGGGGAAATCCCAGCACCTACCCCTCTTACTCTCCCTGGATGCTCGGGACCCAAAGCCAAGGTCAACACATCATTACTGCCAGATACACTAAGACTGCCTTCAGCCACTTGTTTTTGCAATTCATCCTAAAACAAAGACATATAAAAAAGTCAGCACAAGAAAACACACGACGGTTATTTATAAACAAACGACGCATTATATAATTTCACACGACGCAATAACATAGAAATCGACGTTATAATATATTTATAACGACGTTACTTAAATAACGACGTGGTTAGTTGTTTCAAACGACGCAATAAATAAACCACCGATGTCTTATGCTATAATTACAGAAAACAGAGCAGTGATTCCATTTTCAGACCTTTAACGACGTTTTTTAAAACATTTCGACGTAGTAATATCATTCACACGACGCAATAATTACAGAAAACAGAGTTGTGATTCCAGATTTAGATCTTTCACGACATTTTTTAAAACATTTCGACGTATTAATATCATTCACACGACGGAAAAATATAACATAAGACGTAATAAGAATTATACACAATTTAATAAAAATTTAAAATAGAGTGTGTAGGCTTACAATTAATTTTGCTTTCTCTGCCACCTTTGGATCTGGGATGTTACCATGTTTGTCCTGTCTAGCTTTCTTCCATAAGGTAGATCGATCAATTTCTACCCCAGGCATGGTTTCCTCCAATTGATCCTCCAAACCAGCATATCCTTTTCGAGACAATCGATGATTGTACTCAAGTTTCTCCCTAATCTGTGAATGTTGAGAATGCACAGACTCAAATTCTTGGATAACCTTGAAGCTACAAAGGCATCCCATTCTGCTTTCTCTATGAATTTATATATTTCAGGGGGTTGGCTTAATTTCTCCCTCTCCTTGATGTATGGAAGGATATAATGCCTCGTCAGTGTAGACTTGAAATCCTTCCATTTCTTGGCAGCAGAAGATAACACCGAGGTCTTGCCCCCTTGACCTACCACAAAAGCCATGTCAACGGCTTCCCAAATCTGCTCCTTTATATCCTTGGGGATTTCAGCCCTTTCTTGTCCACAAGTGGGACTCTGGAGCGTGCCAACACACCAATGTAGGACTGCATCTCAGTATGTGCAGGGCCACATCCTTTCCCCCTTTTATTGTACTCAACAACTGGCTTGATTTTCTGCAATTTTCTCTTCACAACACAAGGCATTGTGCTCATTCCTCGACCTGACTTTGAATCCTTAGAAATTGTTGTCGTGCTGGTTGGTTTTGTCTCAACAGCTGAAACAAACTTCATCTTCTTCAAGGGCTTGTCTTGAGGAGTTACCATTCCAAGCTCCTTACCTCCATTTTTTTTGGAGCCAGAGTCCTTACTTAGGTCTTGAGAAACCATGGTTACAGAAAAAACAAACCTGCAAGTGAAAATATTTCAGGAAAAAATTGAGAACACAAACGAGGATTATTTATAAAATACTACGTATGATAAGATTTTACACGACGCAATAACATAACATCAGACGTAATAAATGTTTAAAACGAGAGTACTTAAACAACGACGAAACAATATTAAAGAAGACGTAATAAGAACTTATTACGGCGATATTTACATGACGTCGTGATATTTAAATTCACACGACATGAATATTAATATAATGTCGTGTTATGGACATTCACACGACGTAAATAATAAGATACCGTCGTCTGTATAAGAATCCAAAAACCTTTTTCTTTCTCTGTGAATGTTTGATTGCAGGTTTAATTTCTCTGAAACATGGTTTTTGTTTTTCCTAATTTGATAAAATACAAAGAAAAAGAAAGAAAGGTTTGGCATCTTTTATAGACGACGGTATCTTAGTATAACGTCGTGGTATAACATTCACACGGCGTCAATAATAAGATACCGTCGTCTATATAAGATACCAAACCCTACTTTCTTTGTCTTTGTATTTTATCATATTAGGAAAAACGAAAACCATGGTTTAGAGAAATCAAACCTGCAATTAAACAAGCAAATAAAAAATCGACCGTCATTTTAAAAACAACTTAGATCAATTTTAAGACGACGCTAGGAAGACTGACGAACCGTCGTGGTCTACATATTTAACCACGTAAATAAGAAGCTACCGTCGTCTTATTTAGTTGAAGTAGTTGTGTTCAAAGTTGGAAACTTTCCCTCTTTGTCTGTGTATTTTATCAAACTTGGAAAGAATAAAATGATTTTCGCCAGAAAAAAGGTAAAAAGATTTTCAAAACAAAAACCGTATGAGCATGCAAAATAGCAACAAAAATAGTGAGAAATGAAAGCTTACCTTTTGCGTGCAATGAAAGCTTTCTCTCGGAGTTTGGTGTTTAAGTTCAGAGACGACGACGAAGACGAGAGGAAGACGATGAGATACTCTGACAGTGCTCTAACAAGGAAAAAAGACAAAAAGTTTTCTCTGGGAGATTGAAATTTTTTCTCGGGTTTAGAAACAGTGCATGTGTAAGTCAGGTAGACGAAAAGTTGTATATATATATACAAACCTTTTCATAGTAATAAGACGGCGGTTTACATAGAACGACGACATATAAATAAATAAACTACGATGATAATTTGAACTTAGGACGTGGTAAATAAATACGACAGTAGTGTTGTAGGTACCGCCGTAGTAAACTCCTAAATAAAAGTCGATAAATCAATATCTCGCGTCATGGTAGAAGTATTTAACACGACGGTTTTTTGTAATTTACCGACGTTTATTTTTATAATATATGTCGTTTTTTTGTAATATACCAACGTGGAATTTATAAATAGACAGCGGTTTTGTGTAAGGACCGCCGTGGGTTTTAAAAATTTATTGTATAAATTTGTCGCTTTCTTTCAGTTTCAGTTTTCATTTAGGTTTCCAAGTTCTTCTTCTCTCACAGACACTCTCTCTCACATCTCGAAGACAATAATTTGGATGTCTTTCTCAAAGAGAAATGGAGCTTACTCTCCAACAAATCTGTCCACAAGAGGAAGCTTGTCAATCCTGATACGAGACTTAGTGCTTCTGAATACTCCTTGCTTTCCATCAAAAGAGATGCAAGCCTGGCCTCCACTCGATGTCGAAGGAAAGTTCGCTTCTCAGGGAAACCTGAAGATCAGATGTGAGCCTCTGCTAGATTTTCTTGGCTAAGAAGATCCGTCAGTCGGCATTAGTGAAGAAGATGTTCCTTTATCCGTAGAGCTTCTGAAGAAGAAGATGGGTTTTCAAGAATGCGATAAAGAATAGAAATGGCTTCAGATGGCCTCTAAAGCCTAAGCAATCGAATCAGATGGCTTCAGCTATCAATGCTTTGAACTATCCAAGTCCTGCAGAAAGAGAACAGTTAGAGAAATTGAAACAACGACGGTTTTCTGTTCTACCATCGTCTTTTTTTAAACTAAGACGACGCAATATTTTTTTCGCGACGTTGATTCGTTTTTAAAACGTCTTATGTGTAATATAACTGACGTGAATTTTATTTTTATAATTATAAATAGAATTTTTTTTCCCTTGTTCTTTCAGTTTATTTTTCAAAAACAGTGCCTTATAAATAGAGTTTTTTTTCCCGAGGAAATTAATGTTTTAGAATTTGTAAAGTTTCTTTTTTGGGTGACAGATTTAAATCAAATACGAATATAAAAACAACGACTGTTTGTTGTTATACCGTCGTCTTTTTTTAAACTAAGACGACGCAATATTTTTTTCACAACGTGGATTTGTTTTTAAAACGTCGTTATGTGTAATATAACCGACGTGGATTTTATTTTTGTAATTATAAATATAATTTTTTTTCCCTTGTTCTTTCAGTTTATTTTTCAAAAACAGTGGTTATAAATAGAGTTTTTTTTCCCGAGGAAATAATGTTCTAGAATTTGTAAAGTTTCTTTTTTGGATGACTGATTTAAATCAAATACGAATATAAAAACAACGACTGTTTGTTGTTATACCGTCGTCTTTTTTAAACTAAGACGACGCAATATTTTTTTTCGCGACGTGGATTTGTTTTTAAAACGTCGTTATGTGTAATATAACCGAGGTGGATTTTATTTTTATAATTATAAATATAATTTTTTTTCCCTTGTTCTTTCAGTTTATTTTTCAAAACAGTGCGTTATAAATAGAGTTTTTTTTCCCGAGGAAATTAATGTTCTAGAATTTATAAAGTTTCTTTTTGGGTGACTGATTTAAATCAAATACGAATATAAAAACAACGACTGTTTTTTGTTATACCGTCGTCTTTTTTGTCGTCTTAAGTAAGACTAAGACGACGTAATGTATTTGTTCCCGACGTGGATTATTTTTGTTAAACGTCGTTAGGTGTAATATAACCGACGTGGATTTGGTTTTTTAATTATAAATAGGGTTTTTTTTCACGGGTGCTTTCAGTTTTAGTATTCGATTAGGGTTTCAACTTCTTCTTGCCCCTTTCTCTGTCTCACCTCATCTCTTAGGAGGCAATTGTTTGAATGTTGGTGTGTGTGTATGTTTGTGTATCTGATTCACAAACATACACACATCACCAATTTTCAAAAAATTGTCTCTCTAATTGCAAATCTGTGGCTGCCGTCGTGAAGTTTTAGGAGGCAATTGTTTGGATGTTGATGTGTGTGTGCGTTTGTGTAGATACACAAACGCACACACATCATCAACTTCCAAAAAATTGTCTCTCTGATTGCAAATCTGAGGCTGCCGTCGTCAAATTTCAAAAGCAATTTTTTGGATGTTAATGTGTATGTGCGTTTGTGTATCTCAAGGACACAAATACATCATTAACCTCTAAAATATTGTCTTTCTGGTAAGATTATGATGAGGAATAGAGTTCCATCTTGTAAGATTTCCTAACCCTTGTGATCTCAGAAAAATCTGATTATGTCAGCGGTTTTCTATATAAACCGTCGTGGTTATTTCAATTATTGTCATTAAGTATATCTACCGACGTAGATTAACAAAATCCAAGAAATAAATTGTTAAAAAAAATTCTTATTCAGACGACGGTTTAAATATAATGTATGACGTATAAAGTGAATAAATACGACGTTAAATTGTATAATACGTCGTTAAATGAAAACCCCAACATGGTGAGATTTAAAGATACCGTCGTAGAAATACGAGAAAGACGTCGTTATATTTATCTTTGCCGTAGTTGTACATTAACTTAATACGACGGTATTTTGTATTTTACCGCCATGGATTTATTTGTAATTATACGGCGCCTTATACGAAAACTTGGTCGTGTTAATTTCTGGGTAAAAACGTCGGCTTTTTTTGAAATCGTCATCTTTACTTTCTACGTCTGTTGGTTCATAACTTCCGCTGTTATTTGTTGGCCATGATTTTACTACTTTGAAATCCTATTTCAATAAGACGTCGGTTTTTTAATTAGGTACGTCGTGTTTTAGGAACAGCCATTTGAATCTCCATTTTTAGTTGTCTAAGGTGTTATTACACGGCGGTTTTATAAAACAGTCGTCTTTTAAAAAACAACGACGGTTTTCACTTAGACCGTCGTTTTTTTCTGGTTGTCTTTATCACTTTTGTAGTAGTGTTTCATGGACCAATCGATATCGAATTGAGTCCAAAGCCTGGGGAAATCATAATATGGTGGGACGAGTCATTTGGTGCGTTTTGAGTGAGAAACAAATCTCTAGAGCTATGCAATACACCAACCACTACATTTCATAATGAAGTTCGTACGAACTTGAATTGTCCAATTTCTTGGACCATCGATATCTAATTGAGTGCAAAACTTGGGGAACATCCAATCCCTAAAACTATGCAATACACCAACAACCCCATTTCAGAATGAACTTTGTACAAACCTAAACTGTCCAATTTCTTGGAATAATCGATATCAAATTGATACAAAAACTTGGGGAACATCATAATGTTGTTGGAGGAGTCATTTGGGGAGTTTTGAGTGAAATCCAATTGTAAAACTATGCAATACACCAACCACTCCAATTGGTAGGAGGAGTCATTTGGTGGGTTTTGAGTGAAATCCAGTCTAAAACTATGCAATACACTAACCACTCCATTTTAGAACGAACTTCGTACGAACCTGAATTGTCCAATTTCATGGACCAATCGATACGGATTGAGTCCAAAACTTGGGGAAACATCATAATGTGTGGGAGGAGTCATTTGGTGGTTTTGAGTGAAATCCAATGGCTAAAACTATGCAATACACCAACCACTCCATTTCAGAACGAACTTCGTACGAACCTGAATGTCCAATTTCACGGACCAATCGATATCGGATTGAGTCCAAAACTTGGGGAACATCATAATATGGTGGGAGGAGTCATTTGGTGTGTTTTGAGTGAAATCCAATGGATAAAACTATGCAATACACCAACCACTCCATTTCAGAACGAACTTCGTACGAACCTGAATAGTCCAATTTCATGGACCAATCGATATCGGATTGAGTCCAAAACTTGGGGAACATCATAATATGGTGGGAGGAGTCATTTGGTGTGTTTTGAGTGAAATCCAATGGCTAAAACTATGCAATACACCAACCACTCCATTTCAGAACGAACTTCCTACGAACCTGAATAGTCCAATTTCATGGACCAATCGATATCGGATTGAGTCCAAAACTTGGGGAACAACATAATATGGTGGGAGGAGTCATTTGGTTGGTTTTGAGTGAAATCCAATGGCTAAACTATGCAATACACCAACCACTCCATTTCAGAACGAACTTCCTACGAACCTGAATAGTCCGATTTCATGGACCAATCGATATCGGATTGAGTCCAAAACTTGGGGAACAACATAATATGGTGGGAGGAGTCATTTGGTTGGTTTTGAGTGAAATCCAATGGCTAAAACTATGCAATACACCAACCACTCCATTTCAGAACGAACTTCCTACGAACCTGAATAGTCCGATTTCATGGACCAATCGATATCGGATTGAGTCCAAAACTTGGGGAACAACATAATTTGTGGGAGGAGTCATTTGGTTGGTTTTGAGTGAAATCCAATGCTAAAACTATGCAATACACCATACACCAATTTTTTTTGTTTTTCTGAACGAACATTATTGAACCAATCGATATCGAACGATTGAGATCCAAAACTTGGGGGGAAGCCAAATATGGTGGGAGGAGTCATTTGGTGGGTTTTGAGTGAAATCCAATGTCTAAAACTATGCAATACACCAACCTACTCCATTTCAGAAACGAACTTGCTACGAACCTGAATAGTCCGATTTCATGGACCAATCGATATCGGATTGAGTCCAAAACTTGGGGAACAACATAATGTTGGGAGGAGTCATTTGGTGGTTTTGAGTGAAATCCAATGGCTAAAACTATGCAATACACCAACCACTCCATTTCAGAACGAACTTCGTACGAACCTGAATCGTCCAATTTCATGGACCAATCGATATCGGATTGAGTCCAAAACTTGGGGAACATCATAATATGGTGGGAGGAGTCATTTGGTGGTTTTGAGTGAAATCCAATGGATTAAAACTATGCAATACACCAACCACTCCATTTCAGAACGAACTTCGTACGAACCTGAATCGTCCAATTTCATGGGACCAATCGATATCGGATTGAGTCCAAAACTTGGGGAACATCATAATATGGTGGGAGGAGTCATTTGGTGTGTTTTGAGTGAAATCCAATGGATAAAACTATGCAATACACCAACCACTCCATTTCAGAGCGAACTTCGTACGAACCTGAATCGTCCAATTTCAGGGACCAATCGATATCGGATTGAGTCCAAAACTTGGGGAAAATCATAATATGGTGGGAGGAGTCATTTGGTGTGTTTTGAGTGAAATCCAATGGATAAAACTATGCAATACACCAACCACTCCATTTCAGAGCGAACTTCGTACGAACCTGAATCGTCCAATTTCACGGGACCAATCGATATCGGATTGAGTCCAAAACTTGGGGAACATCATAATATGGTGGGAGGAGTCATTTGGTGTGTTTTGAGTGAAATCCAATGGATAAAACTATGCAATACACCAACCACTCCATTTCAGAGCGAACTTCGTACGAACCTGAATCGTCCAATTTCACGGACCAATCGATATCGGATTGAGTCCAAAACTTGGGGAACATCATAATATGGTGGGAGGAGTCATTTGGTGTGTTTTGAGTGAAATCCAATGGATA